TAAAATCGAAACTGAGATTCACTTGTAGTTTACCTTGACAGGTGTGAACTATAGTCATCTCTTTCATGGGCTAATTTCTCATTGTCCAACTCTGTGTCCTATATGCTTTCACGCATTACTTTAGTCAATATACGAAGAAATCATCTGATACCTCTGACTTCGGTTAAAACAAATAAAACTTCGAGCAGATCTATAATTTGAAAATACATTTAGACAGAACAATTAATTATTACTGTAGTAATTAAAATTTGAATATTAACAACTGAGAACTCTTAATCAAGGATTCGGACCGGAAGGGATCTAAAACATCTACCGTTAACTATAACTTATGGTAACCCATTACACTAATGTAAAGGACATTGATCAGAAATTCGTTAACCTCAGCATTTAAAAAAAAGACATTTTCCTCTACTGTGGCAATGCTTCTGTACGATATAAATACATAGTGCAGAGCAAATCTCGAATTAACTGAACTCGTACATTTTATTTCTCGATAAGATTTATGACTTACATTAATAAAGAGCAGTCAATAAGTCAATTCTGACTTTATATTTTTGTTTACAAAATGATAGAAGTTTAGAGTAATATAGAAGAAATGAAAATAAAATATCTTTTCTGACTGTATGAGATTTTAGATAGTTCATTGCGGGGACAAACTGTTTACATATACAATGTATATGATCACGTGCGGCACTGTGGAAACAAAACGCTTTAAATTACGAGTGTATCAAACTATTCAGTCTGTATCTTATAGATCTATATGTGTGTATATATTCAGAAAATAAATAAACCCTATCCCACATTTATCTATGTCATTCATTTATATCAGCTACGATAGATTCGTACATCTGTGCGATAGCTTATTTCGCTTATTACATGGCTAAAATCCGCTAATTTGCCGAATATTGGAGCGATACAGGTCTGTTTAAATAAAAACATAATAGAATGTTTAATGAAGCTTAACATTATTGTAGTTCTCATTTTTTCAACCTCAGGTGGGTTGAGCATCTAGGGAAAATCCAGTTTTCCTAACTGTTTAATGGGATTTCTCCTTCAGATTTTATCAAATGAAAATTTATACACAAGATACTCATCACCTGCATGTACCAAGAGAAAACTTAGATTTTTTACGCTGGTGTGAAGCTGTTCACCGGTACTAAAATATGCTAAAAAAACTAAATATTTTCATATACCATTAGATTTCTTTTGAAAGAAAATCCGTCACTGATTGTAGATCTAAAACCCCGAGCACGCAAATTAACGAAATTTGATTTACATTAAATTGTACGGAACACAAGAAGCCGCCCATCGCCCTTTAAACGTATTTAAGTGAAACAAAGGGATTGACTACAAGCTATTGAAATCATGTACAGTCATCTCCGGCATTGTTACAAACAGTTACAACTGATCAGATAGCAATCTTACACATAAATAATTTATATATATCAATATGCTACAGTCATATATCATATAGTTAATTTATAGATAATCCCTTAACTCACAACACTTTTCAATATTTACATTTTCTTTTCATGCCTATGCTCCAGAGAGAGAGAGAGAGAGAGAGAGAGAGAGAGAGAGAGAGAGAGAGAGAGAGAGAGAGAGAGAGAGAGAGAGAGAGAGAGAGAGAGAGAGAGAGAGAGAGAGAGAGAGAGAGAGAGAGAGAGAGAGAGAGAGAGAGAGAGAGAAACTAAACACAAACTTTTCAAGGATGAGCAGGCGTTCTTTTGATCATGTAATCATGTCTGCAAAGAAACAAAACACATACAGTTTAAGAAATGGGATGTCAACACTAGATACTTAAAATGGTGAAATGTGAAAAAATAGATAAACGCGAGAAAATATTTATAATGGCCCTTAACATTTACTAATTGATGTGTATTTTCACTAATTGAAATCTGATCATAAGAATCTTTACAATTGTCTTATGCTGTATGATATTGATTTCAATAATAATTAAGCGATAAAGATGAACAATCAATTCTCGTTGGCCATCTCATAATTAGTTTACTTGTTTGACAGGTGTAGGTGATCTTCCGTTGATTCTATGTGCTGTAGGTGATCTTCCGTTGATTCTATGTGCTGTAGGTGATCTTCCGTTGATTCTATGTGCTGTAGGTGATCTTCCGTTGATTCTATGTGCTGTAGGTGATCGTCCGTTGATTCTATGTGCTGTAGGTGATCTTCCGTTGATTCTATGTGCTGTAGGTGATCTTCCGTTGATTCTATGTGCTGTAGGTGATCTTCCGTTGATTCTATGTGCTGTGATAACTTTTGATTGCCGTAGATACGCAATATCAAAGGTTCGTTGGCGACGGTACAAACTATTTGTGTTTATATTCTATAAGTATATACCTGTTGTAAATTTATCACCCTTTGTTGAACGTAACTCAATTATGGATTATATGTATAATGACTATGTTAATTGCTACAGATAACATTTTCATTGGTAAGAAACATCATCCCAGAACATTATAAAAAAATAATTCGTATTTCCTCTTCATTTTTTAGATCATACCATACGATTTCATTCATTCGATTCATTCGAAAATTCATGACTTGCATGCTTTCGTTTGGCCAGTATAACTTAGTAAAATTAATTCCTCAAATGAATGATTTTTGCTTGATCAAATCTAGGTAAATCAAATTACAACTATTAAACGAAATTTTCCTATATTAAGCTGTATCAAAATAACGGTTTTGTAATAGATAAAACAATTCGCCCTTTATAAAAGGAATATACTTTGTTGGTTTTCTTTTATAAGGCTCAATAATGTAAAAGTATAATTTAAGTTGATCTCTAATTGTCTAAAGCTGGGCATAGATTACAGATTAAGGGGAGATAACTACAAACCGATTTTGAATTTGATAACATTAGTACGATTTGAAATGAGTCAGCACATTAACCTCAATGTCATTTTGATCAGGCAGTTGAATAACATTTAGTTTTATACAATGTGAAACAGATGCCAAACAGCTAAACCAACAGGTTCGAAAATATACCGTTTCTTTGCAACATTGAACAGGTCGTGTTTTGTGGACAGAAAACGAAATTATCTAGTACTTATCAAATTCCGAAGAATTAGCTATATATTTTTTTGCTGGTGTGTTTTGTTTATATGCTGATAACACCAATCACTATAACGTTGCTATAGTTACAGTATGTCAATCAATGAAATAAATGAAGAAAATAGATGTATTCTGAATCAATAATGAGGTCGATCTGTTAACATTGAATTATACTTACCACTTCCTTGTTGAATGTTAGATGTCTATTGATTTTATAATGCATACAGAGTATTTCTCTGTTTCTCCAATATAAACAGTCCAACACTCAGAAAAGCGACAAGAGTGAATAGAGAGATATATTTAAACATGCACATGTTATGCATATAAGACGCGACTGTTACCCTACGTTGACATGGATTCAGGAACCTAAAATAAATATAATAAAAAATGGCACATCATAAAGACGTCACAGAGTGGTGTAACATCGCGTGACCTTGAATCAAGTGACAATTTAATTAATTGTTATTACGATTTTCGACATATTTGTATGCTGATAAATTAGATGAATATCAATTTATTCTCCCTTCCCCCTCCCCATCAACAAAATAATAATAATTAAAAAAAAAACACACAGTTTAAACCTTGTAGGTTACGAAATATGACGCCAATGATTATTAATTACAACGTTTGTAAACGCTCTGAATGAAATAGCGTTACACTCAGCAAGGTATGTTATACCTAGTTCATGAAGTTTTCTTGGCTGGATATTTGTCTTAGAGAGAGCTGCCTATAGCATGTCCCATGCTCAATAGGATTTAGATGTGGGGAGAAGGCTGGTCAGCTATTTCTTTGAATTGTCTCTTGCTCTAAATACTGCTTCTAAGTCACTTTCACAGATCTTACATTACATCATATTTATTGATATTAACTTGTAATATTGCAGTAATAATGATGATGATAACAAATGATATTTTAGGAAAGATGAATGACTAATTATGACCTGAAGACAGAATTTCACAAGATGAAACGTGTATATGACATACCAGTGATGGTTTCAAGAAATCTTAAATTCAATACATTAATGGACATTTACATTTTCACGTACTGCTTTGATCTTTCTACTAGCAATACAACGCATTACAATACAATTCAATAAATTTATTGTTTACAAGTTTCACATATCAATATCGCATGGCAACAACAAATTTACATAAGAGTAAAGACATTTCAATTTTAAAATATACAAATAGTATCGACACTCAGCCCACTTTTGCCTATGAGACACTGGAAAGCATTGCACCACCTTACAATAAGTAAACCAGTATTATAAAAATAATTATACTAAAACTATGACACATATGATAAACAGCAGTATTTTTCTTAAATGTAATGTTTGTACTTTACAAGATTTACGTCATTTGTGTTGTATTCAGAAACTTGCAGTTTATGGAAGCTTGTGTTAAGAGTATTACCGGTTTTACAAATCGCTACTGTGTCTGAAGTTACAAGAAAGGACATGAACCATCTAAATGTAAACCCTTATCTATGTCAAGAATGATTACCGTAAAACAAGCTCATTAACAGTAAATGTAAGATCAAAGACTGTACAAAAGACACACAAGTGAATAACACCTTTTCATAATTTAGAGTGATACAGTAGAGCCAAAAAATGGCTTGAACTGCATCATCTAGCTGTTTCGTCCTTCTAGGACTCGTCAGTGATGCTAAGGGCCTAAACTTTGAAGCAAATTAGGCGATGTGATCAAAAGAAAGTCAAAATCTAGACAGGGAGGTGCAGCAGCCCCATAATTAGATATATTTTGTAATTTTCATACATTAGATAAATTAAAGTAACAGGGGAAGATTTTAACGTGAGAATGACTTATGAGTTATTTATGATTGAAATTAATTTCAGCGTTTAGTGGTTATTATTGGTACACCCATTGGAGCGAACTGATCCTATCCTACACCCCAATAAACATTGCGACTGCTTACGCAATTTCACACACAAATGGAAGTGATGTTTCACATGATATATCATTCCAGAGGCCGTTTAGTAAAACCGTCATACAATTCTCTTTTAAAAAGTAGTTATTTGGTTCTCCGGGAGACCAATGTGCATTAGTGATGGGTTCCATGGTGCTGGCCCAAATCCACTCTCCCTCATAACAGATGTCAGTCCCTCCTAAATAGTATTCATTATTGACTCCTGAACGAATAGAATTATATGAGAGTTTAAATCATAATCGAAATTGAACTGGAACTTAATGTATAAAAATAAGATTCTAGCTAAATTCACAGAAATTACAATACAGATTGGTGAATAGGATGTAAATGCTGGTAGAGAACATTTAAAATTGACACCAATACTTGTTTTGGAAGTTCTATGGTGTTTACAAGGGCTGCTTATTAAAAAAAACAACCTTAAATAAACCTGCAAAATAATATAATTTGACATCAGTTAATATCAAGACTAAAGGTAAAGTTGGAGCAGTTTGATAATTAACTTACGAATTCTGCTTTTAATCGTGTTACGAATGAAAACAAATTCGGCTTCGTCCTTAGGTTCCGCAAGTTTTGCGTTGAAATTCCGGCAGTAGCTCTGCAAAACCGATGTGTATTAGTTTCATGTTAAGATATTTTATACTCTTCGATCAATTTAGTTGTTTGTTAGCTGTGAAGAACTCTCACCGTTTCTGTTTTACAGATATCCGTTATGATTTCTTTCTAATATGTGTAAAGTTTTCTATACTAAATAAACTGAATTAGTCATTAGTAATTAAATTAAAATAGTACAATTTCATTGAAAAAAAGAAAGTGAAATTGTACAAAAAGCGCTTCATGACCTTAATTTCAAAAGATGTTTGGATTTTATAAATTAAGACAATTTCTAAATCTATTTTTCTGGTGCTGTTGTTTGGAGGAGTACAGTTTTATTAAGTGATAAAGTGATTTAACAGGTAAAATATGTAACTGCACTTTATTCTCGACAGGCGTCAGAATATGATATGTAATAACAGATATTCGTTAATATTTTTGAGGAAATACGTTTTGGATTGAAAATCCTTCTTTTCCATTAAAATTTTTAAGCGAGTGATACTAGGAATATAAAACAAAACATGAAAATGCTAAAATTAATTTGATTTTACGAAAAAAAAACCTTCAATTCCATTTCTGACAATGTTCTGAAATATAACGGTTGAAAGACGTTCTGATTTGACAATTTTTGATCAATTAAAAGTGATGGTCGATGTGCTCAATGCTTGTTAGCAATTTTCACTTAAAGTCACAGTTTTCTTCCCATTTTTGTTTTAATCATGTTTCTTCATAACCAAAAATACGTGGGTCATCAATTTGGTCACCATTGGTGTCATTGACCTTCGTGCAAGTTATCGTTCGTTGAAGTATTGAATTTAGTCAACGAATTTATATAAATCTAGTAATGAAGGTCAAAGGGGTCAATAAAGTGACATATCTTTCAAAGATATATGATAGCAATGGTGACCGGGTTGTTTAAGTTAGTTTCAACAATTATGACACTTCCGAGAAGTCAAATAGTGATAATGTATTTGCAATACTCAATACATTGAATTACTTGAATTGCTTTTTAGATACAGCTTGATTCCTGTGAAAACAGCTCAAGTGAAAGAAATCGAAATGGAGGCCAAATGTTGATCACACCCTTTGGAAGTTTTGGACTTCTGAGTTTCACACAATCTTATTTAAGGGTTATCATTTAAGACATAGCAATTACTCACCCCAGCCTCTGCCCACGAGCCTGTCTGACGACTGAAGAAGTAGCAACGTTTCATATGTTTTTTCCATCCTGGTGGACACTCTACAGCATATGTAAACAGATACAAAATGTAAAGTCACATTGTGGACACTCTACAGCATATTTAAACATATACAAAATTTAAAGTCACATTGTGGACACTCTACAGCATATATAAACAGATGCAAAATGTAAAGTCACATTGTGGACACTCTACAGCATATATAAACAGATACAAAATATAAAGTCACATTGTGGACACTTTACAGAATATATAAACAGATACAAAATGTAAAGTCACATTGTGGACACTCTACAGCATATATAAACAGATACAAAATATAAAGTCACATTGTGGACACTCTACAGTATATGTAAACAGATACAAAATGTAAAGTCACATTGTGGACACTCTACAGTATATGTAAACAGATACAAAATATAAAGTCACATTGTGGACACTTTACAGCATATGTAAACAGATACAAAATATAAAGTCACATTGTGGACACTCTACAGTATATGTAAACAGATACAAAATGTAAAGTCACATTGTGGACACTCTACAGCATATGTAAACAAATACAAAATATAAAGTCACATTGTGGACACTCTACAGCATATATAAACAGATGCAAAATGTAAAGTCACATTGTGGACACTCTACAGCATATATAAACAGATACAAAATATAAAGTCACATTGTGGACACTCTACAGCATATGTAAACAGATACAAAATATAAAGTCACATTGTGGACACTCTACAGTATATGTAAACAGATACAAAATGTAAAGTCACATTGTGGACACTCTACAGTAAATGTAAACAGATACAAAATGTAAAGTCACATTGTGGACACTTTACAGATACAAAATATGTAGACAACAGATATATAAATGCAAAAGTCACATTGTGGACACTCTACAGCATATATAAACAGATACAAAATATAAAGTCACATTGTGGACACTTTACAGCATATGTAAACAGATACAAAATATAAAGTCACATTGTGGACACTCTACAGCATATGTAAACAGATACAAAATATAAAGTCACATTGTGGACACTTTACAGCATATGTAAACAGATACAAAATATAAAGTCACATTGTGGACACTCTACAGCATATATAAACAGATACAAAATATAAAGTCACATTGCTATACAAAAGGCGAATCAGCTTGCATTTCCTCTACGTTTCTTACGTAACTGTTGTCAGCTGTATTACTTAGTTCAAATCTTATGAGAATTTATTTCATTTAACGAGTTGAACGATTTGACACGACTAATGCTTTTTGCTAGTTTACCTCATAATTTTCAGAAGAGTTAACTTCATTCAATATTCATTAGAAAATAAGAAAAAATGTAATTGTTAACATATAATGCACCCGAATATTCATTCATGCAGAATGTTTTTGTCCTCATCCATATCTTTTTACAAGTATTGTTGTGCAAGATTTCGTTATCAGATCTTTTAATAATTCTATTCATAGGCAGAAGCTACAATTGGACTGCGAATATCAAAATAGTTATAGCACAAACAAGTATTTAGTTTCCTTATTAATTAAACACAACAACTTACTGCCGTCTAGATGGGAAGTAGTCAACGATTCTTTGATGGAGACTAAATGGTCTTGGATACGTTTAATATCTGCAGAATGAATTACACCCAATCATACAGCCATTTCGTCCTAGTAGGACTCGTCACACTAACGAATTACATCGAATCATACATCGATTTCGTCCTACTAGGACTGGTCAGACTAACTAGTTTCACCGGATATTGACATTTTCTTACGCAATAGAACTCGTTAATTACTCAATCATCTTGATCCAGTGATCTGTTTTGGTGCGTTGATAACATATCTGTTAATAAGGGAGATTTAATATCAATATTTGTTACATATTTTCGGAATACTTTTTTAAGTAAATGTTCTTTTCCTGGCGACTGCGTATAGCTTTGTTAGATGCCTAAGACGTTCCTATATATCCTGTTGAGTTGTCATGTTATATTTTTACGGCGAACAAAATGAAGCCCATCCTAAGATATGGTCCCAGACTTATGACCAAGTGTATACAGTGTAGTGTTTAGTACGTGTAAACTGGGTAAAACTGCTTTAAATTCCAGGTAGACGGTTATCAATTGACAATGCCATTTTTAGTAAGCACTTCGAAGACTACTGGCATCGTTCTACGTATTAAATAGGCCGAATATTTAGGCTCCAATATGTTATTCTATTGTCTAATTTACACTATTTTACTAAATGCTTTGATTCCCACGCGTTATCATTAACTTCACGTTCTGGCAAATAATGAAATATAAAGAAAAAATGCTTCGAAGACAATAATTAATTAATTAATTAATAACCGTATTGTTCTGTTAAAGATCTATACAACGACTGCTTTGAATATATCTCGATTAAGTCAGACAATTTGACCACACGGGGACATTGCATAGTTTACTTGCCTAAATATAAACGGTTTAAACTTGAAATCAGGCATTTGCAGTTATCTCCCCTTAACAAATGCTCAGTAACTTTTCATTTAAATACTGAATACTATTAAATCACTGACAGTAATTTTAGTTAGATCAAAATAAAATATACTGCTACCCCAGTTCTGAAAAATCAAGCTAGGATTTTGGGAATGATTAACGCGAAATAATAAGGGAGATATTACGATGGATATGAACATATTTGTTTTATAAATCCCGAAAATTGTATTGATATTTTACAAATACAAACCAACATAGGATTATGTAGTTGGCCAAGGAGTGAATTCTGTTCGAACACAGCCAGTCTGTAACCAGTTTTTTTTTTTTTTTTTTTTTAGAAATTTTCATTGAACACCAGAAACAGACATGGTAGCATTTTAAATGCCGTAGTATCTAAATACTTAGAACCGGTTTGCTTGTAACAATTATGCTAAAATAATAAATAAAACTTAATGTAACGACATTATAGCACTGGATATTCTGTTTTTTTTACTAGTACATAATAAACGCTTTCGTAATTATCTGATATTTTCAAAAGAACGTAAAGTGTATGTTTCACGACAAACATCGAGAGTTAACATGACGCCATTGTTATTTTGTTCCGTCGTTTATGAGCTTTATAAGGAGTGTGCAGTTTAGCATTTAACGTAATGTAAATAAAAATATAACTGAATACCTAATCGTATACAGCTAAATATAGATTGCAGGGGAGACAGGCTCTTCAAAATATCTCAAAACAGTAATAGCATTATACACCCTTTTGCACTGTTATAATTGTAATTTGTTTGTATAACAATGTGGACCTTACAATGTCATAGTACAGTCCAGACTAGTTTCATACAAAAAGGATACAACTAACTGACATACATGATTTTTGAAATACCACCGTTTGTCTTTTACAATAAATAAGCCAATGTTTACGCAAAACGAAAGTAAATGTTTCGCATACGTAAAACGAAACTAGTCGAGTGAATTTCGAAGCTTTGTATACTCTTCTTATTACGCTTTGTTTGTGTATTGACAAAGAAAACCAATAGGATAATTCTATAACATCAATACGTAAAATAATCAAATAGAGATCCTGAACCGTTACCATGATTTTGCTGGTTACTTCTGGTCACGTGTTGATTGTATGCCGCTGTGAGTTTTTCTGCTTCGGTCATTGAACGTTCGTGTGCCTCTGTGCTTTTTTCATAAATAACAATCAGGAAACTTAACTTTCGCTCCAATATGAACAGCCCACCACTAATAAAACCGACAAGTATTGCCAAAGAGAAAGATTTAAATAATTCCATTCTGTAAAGGATGTCACTGACCTAGATCAGAGATATATACGTCTCTGCCTGTATGCTATGGTTTTCGCTGTGTGTCCTATCTTTAGATGACACGCTGCGTGTAAAAATAAAACCGATGTTACAGAAAATACTGTGACCGTGAAATTCTGTGACCGCGGCCAATTTGCGCATGCGTGTCCCAAGTTTCATGGCATTACGTAAAACATGGAAGTACCAGTTAAAATCAGGATTGAATGAATCTCAGAGCGGGCAAATGGATTTCGCAAGGGGCTAAATGTACGCTATGAAACACTACAAGCCAATTAAAACCTAAAAAAAAATGGTTTACTTGCAATTTTGCGATTTACTTTTGCCGTTGAGGGTAGGGGAGGCGTAGTATAACATGTATATGTGGTACACATGTATATAAATTGCTTATGGAATTCCGATGTTGATGTTAAAATGTTTGATTTCTTGTTTGATGTATTTCTAACGTAGATCTAGCTATAGAAATTTCAATATGCTCGAGTAAATGGTAGTGTTAATTTTAAATCACTTTATCCAACTTAATATTATATTCAAGTCTCAAATAAAATTTAACAACAAAGCTGTTGTAAGCATCAGATGTGCAATACTTAATCATTTTACCTTCCATGGGTAAAATAAAGAACCGACTGTAAAAGACGATAGACCCTTCTGTCGTAAAATACTGTGAACGTCTGTAGATACTGCGAAATTCCCATTGCAATCATGAGCAGCATTGTAAAATAATTGGTACTCCATCTTTACAGAATGTAAAGTTCCCATTTCTGAATATAATACTGTGTCATTACTTATGTGAAAATGTGATCGTCAATCTACATAATACGCCAACCCTGCCATTATAGCACTACGTCCGCTCTGTCACTCTATTCATCCTTTACATTATTGTGACTTTCCTGTAAACGTTGCAACTCTCCCTCTCAAAATCCTGCGGCACTCTGTAAAATACTGTGACCCTCCCTCTGTAAAATACTGTGACCCTCCCTCTGTAAAATACTGTGACCCTCCATCTGTAAAATACTGTGACCCTCCATCTGTAAAATACTGTGACCCTCCCTCTGTAAAATACTGTGACCCTCCATCTGTAAAATACTGTGACCCTCCATCTGTAAAATACTGTGACCCTCCCTCTGTAAAATACTGTGACCCTCCCTCTGTAAAATACCGTGACCCTCCCTCTGTAAAATACTGTGACCCTCCATCTGTAAAATACCGTGACCCTCCCTCTGTAAACTACTGTGACCTTCCATCTGTAAAATACTGTGACACTCAATCTGTAAAATACCGTGACACTCCCTCTCTAAAATACTGTGACCTTCCATCTGTAAAATACTGTGACCCTCCCTCTGTAAAATACTGTGACCCTCCCTCTGTAAAATACTGTGACCCTCCATCTGTAAAATACTAAAATATTCCCACCTGGAAAATACTGTGACTTTGCTTGATTGTTATATAAAACCATTCTCCCATAAAAACTCTTGCATTGGTGCTACATGATACTGTATTTCTCCTGTAAAGTACTTTCATCCCTCAGTTATAACTGAAATTCCATCTCAGGTCAAATTTGTTTTCACGTAATGCACAACACTTGTGTTTTTATTCTGATGCAAATTTTTGTTTTCCAGCATCCCTTGTATGTTGTTCGGAAACTTTTGCAGTTGTCTTTGATAAAGAAGACGCTTTATCCTTCCGAAACACGTGGTCTTTTTCTCCTTCTGTTAACATTTCTTTTGTTCATTTTTTTGTTAACTTTGAATGTTGTATCTACTTGGACATAAGCAGCGTGTTAAGAAAACTGGGATGTTACTTGTTTGAAAATGAAAACATCGTCTTTACACCTATTTGCAGTTCAGTAGTATTATATCATTTTGACGAAGATGTAAGTTCATATCCAAATAAGCGGATGACCCAGAATCAGAGGTGTCCTTGATTTAAAATGCTTTAAGTTTACCTAAGTCAACACATCGTTAATTACCTAAATGAATACACAAACAAGTCAACAAAAGTAAACTGTTTATTCCTGAATAAATACAAAAGTAGCTTGTCGGAAGATCCTGCCGTAAAACCGAACCAAGGTGTTGTCAACTTAAGAGTTTTCAACGTTATAGATCAGTGGAATGTAAGTGAGGAAGGAAGTGATGAAAGTGGACGCTTGAAACTTGTACCGGAAACTCTTAAAATCAAGAAAATACCGAAAATGTTGGAAATACGTAAAAAAAAAAAAAAAAAGGACAATATGTTAAATACGTGTCACCGACATCAGAATGACATAAAATAACTAATATGTAAATTTCCAACATGAAATAGTGTAAACAAATGTCAGAAACGAATACCAGTCTATTGTAATCCAGTTATAAATCACGTGACAGCAACACGGACACTCTTTGGTGACAGAATTTGTAGAGGAAGTTTTTTTTTTCATCTGATTTAAGAAGCCTTTACTTCAGTACAATTCCTGGTTGGTAATCATTGAGTTTATTTATGTAGTTTTCCTTCTAGTGTTCGAAAGTCTTTCTACCAACAACAGCAGAACAGAAAGTATTTGATAGAATGTGCAATTAAGAATTCAGTTTGTTATTACGTTATTACGAGAGTTTATATTAAGCGTACCGAGACAATTGCATCAGTAGTATTCCATATGAATTACATAATAAAACGAAGGGAAGTAACTCTGGAAGATTAGATATATGAATAAGATTTATCTGTCTATTAACATACCATTTTTCTCGTTGTTTCATATATTTACGTGAACATTTTTTTTTTATTTTTTTCCCTACAATCTTCTTAATATAATATAAATACGTTTTGATACCCTCATAACACAGTTTATCAACAATGAAGTTTTCTGGGAAACTGTTATGCCATGGTTCACCGTTTTCAATATACTTTCTGACTTCTGAAAACTCCAATCGATGTCTCACTTATCATTCATTTATACAAATCGAAAAGTAAAACTTGAATTTTTCATTTTCTCCGTGTAAACTTCATCAAAGTAATCACTTTGGGCAACTGTAAAATGGTTTTTCCAATCTCCGATTTCACCTGTAACCATGAAAATCTATACTTATTATGTGTGAAGAAATTCAACTGATACGTGGGGACAAAGCATTGTGAAATATCATTCCACTGTCTCTGTCGTATTTAAAACATTATAAACATTGTTTGGCATACAATTAAACTCAAACACATAATCATTTTCTCTCCGTAGAAAAATAACACATGTACTGGAACTGGCCTTGTACAAACCTATTACATGGATATTACAACTTTACAAATGAAAATTATTTTGATAGGCTAAAGGCAGGTCCTTATAGGAACGCGGACTGAAACAAATATTACCGGTATAGACAGGACTTTAATATCTTCATTTATGTCCGCGGACTTGTATGAATTTTTCTGGTACTTAGACTGAAAGTAGTCCTCTACATCATACCTCGGACAGAGAAAAAATTCCCGCTTAAATTATTACTTTTAAAGTTAAAAGATTGTACGAAAGTCACACAATTCAGAGTTAGATACAGGAAAGCCAAACAAACTACAGCATAAGTCTTTCCAGAACTCGTCAGTGAAGCTAAGAGCCTAAATTTTGAAAACTAAAGAGACGCCTAAGGAAAAGGATCGAAAGAAAAGTAAAAACAAGGGATGGGGTGGGGGGTAGGAGGCAGTAGTGCAGTTCTCTAATATTTACCTTTCCTATAGATTGGAAGCCTTTTGTCTTTCATGACAGCTTTCCATTGTTCGGATGGTGTAAATTCTTTTGTAGCCTCATCTGCCATATTTCGGAATGTACATTTATCAGTCACCGCCTCCAGGAACTCCGTTTCGGAAGAAACCCCAAGAAATAATGCAAGCTTTTGTACATACGATCTCAGGTCCTGAAAGAATTAAACAAGAGACACACAAGACAATAATATCTTCAGTTGTGCCCGACCACATGGATTTTCCCCGGGTCCTCCGGTTCCTTCAACAGTAAGATCCCTCGCGCGCTTTTTTGACCGGGCCAACAAAAGTGATTACTATAAGCTTATTTCGCAATTGTTGTAAAATAAAGTTTATTTATTTATTTATTTATTTATTTATTTATTTATTTATTTATTTATCACCCTGGCCTTAGTCTCCAATATATATGAATATGTGGCGTCATTTTATTATCTTCCTCTGACATTAGATTCCATAACACGATAGAGGTGTATTCCTAGACTTATACGTCAATCACGTGATAAATCACCATCAAAGATTACCATCATGTTATCATTGTTAATTGAATGAGGACATATACATAAATGACAGTAAACTTTACACGGTCATACTAGTAAATAAGAAAATTAGAACAAAGATTTCAAAAGAGGAATTGATTTTTACTTCATACTTGATCAAAGATTTACAAAAGAAACAAATGGACTGCACCATTTAATACAAATTTATGATTATAGATACTGCTGTGTCAATTATTCTGTTAAAATCGTTCATATTTTTTGTCTTTCTCATACTAAGTTTAGAAACCTATGAAACTACTGTGAAAAATTCAGTGAGAATCACGTTATCGAAAAATTAACATATATTAACGCGCATTTGACTTATCAGAATATTTCTGCTGTCAGCGCGTTGATCGTCTGTGTGCTTATATCTAACCTGATTTTCGATTTCTTGATTGACCTGAAGATCGATAAAACTGACCTGTTTCATGTCCTCGTAGATGAGATACTGTATGTTGTTTCCCTTGTGTTCTCGTCTCACTTTATCCCAACTCTGTATGTGATCAAACCAGGAACCGTAGAAAACTGGATTAATAAAAAAAAGTACATACACCGTCAAAAACTCCTAAAGTAAAAACTATCAAAGTATGATGTGAAACTGAATTTATTATTTATGAGACTTCAATTTCTGAATGAATCATATTTTCTTTTTTACATATTTTTGTATTATTGTGTTTACTCATACTAGGGACTATAGAAAACAACCTGAAATTAATTCTTTTA